AGGGTACCCCAAGGCACCCCCAGGGCACCCTGAAACACCTGCAGGCCACCCTAAAACACCTTCAGGGCATCCCAAAGCACCCCCAGAGCACCCCAAAGCCCCCCCGTACCTGCTGGGGCTCCCCGGGGCCGGCCGGGGGGGTCCTGGGGCCGTCAGGGGCTGCGGGGCCGGGGCTGCGTGCGGGGGAGGTCCGGGGGTCCGGGGGCCATGGGATTCCCTCCACACCTGGCCAGGGGGACACGCGGCGTTAGGGGGTCCCCAAAGCCCCCCAGTCACGGGGCAGGGACCCCCAGAGCTGCCCCAGCCCTGGCAGTGCCAGCCCGGGGGTGTCACAGCAGTGTCCCCTGTGCCGAGAGAGCCAGGCACGAGGGGCTGTGACAGGGAGACACCACGGCACGAGGGGCTGTGACAGCAGTGTCCCCTCTGAATGTGGGGCCATAAAAAACCCCACGGCACGAGGGGCTGTGACAGCAGTGTCCCCTCTGAATGTGGGGCCATAAAAAACCCCACGACACGAGGGGCTGTGACAGCAGTGTCCCCTTTAAATGTGGGACCGTGTCCCACCAGTGTCCCCATTGCATACGGGGCTGTGTGACACCAATGTCCCCATTTCACGAGGGGCTGTGTCCCATAAAAAAACCCACAGCATGAGGGGCTGTGTCACACCAATGTCCCCATTGCACACGGGGCTGTGTCCCCTAAAAAACCGCACGGCACAAGGGGCTGTGTGACACCAGTTCCTCTTTGCATGAGGGGCTGCATCCCATAAAAAACCCCAATTTCATGAGGGGCTGCATCACACCAAAAAAAAAACCCTTTTGCACCAATGACCCCATTGCACGAGGAGCTGCACCTCACAAAAACCCCATGGCACGAGGGGTTACACCACACAAAAACCCCATTGCACGAGGGACTGCATCGCATGAAAACCCCATTGCACGAGGGACTCTACTGCACAAACAACCCCCTTGAACAAGGGGCTGCATCACAAAAAAAACCCCATTGCACACGGGGCCCTATTGCACCAACAACCCCATGGCACGAGGGGTTACACCACACAAAAACCCCATTGCACGAGGGGCTGTGTCACACCAATGACCCCATTGCATGTGGGGTTAGACCACACAAAATCCCACTGAACAAGAGGCTGCACCATGCAAAAAAAACCCCATTGCATGAAGGGTCCTATTGCACCAACCCCATTGCAGGAGGGGCTGTGTCACACTAAAAACCCCATTGCAGGAGGGGTTGCAGCATATAAAAACCCCATTGCACTAAACCCCCTCTGCATCACCCCCCTTGCAGGAGCAGCTGCCCCACACAACCCCCTCTTTGCCCAGCACCCCATAACCCCCCAGACCCCACAACTCCATCCCAAACCCCATCCCAACCTCTTCCCAATCCCATCCCAAACCCATTCTAAACCCATCCCAAACCCCATCCCAAACCCCATCCCAAACCAATCCCAACCCCATCCCAAACCAATCCCCATCCCAAACCCCATCCCAATCCCATCCCAAACCTCATCCCATCCCCATCTCAACCCCATCCCAAACCCCAGCCACCACTGTCACCACGGGGACAGCCACCAGTGCCACCAGCCCCGCCAGTGCTTGGGGCTGCTGCGGCTCCTCCGGACCGCTCCGAGCCTGCAGAGCCGGGACTGAACCGGGACTGAACCGGGACCGAACCGGGGCTGAACCGGGGCCGCTTCCCCCGGGAGCTCCGAGCGTGGCCGGGCTCCAGCCCCAGCTGCTCCCGGTGTGCAGCCGGAGCCCTGGCTCCCCTCCAGGGCCGGATCATTTTCTCTCCATTCTGCCAAATTTATCGCAGGAAAATGGGCTCCGATTTCTTTTTAATACTCGGTTAGGGGGGAGGAAAAAAACCGCAGCGGGAAGGGATGGAGGGGAAATGTTTCCTCCCCAAATCACTCCAGGGCTCTTCCCCTGAGGCTGTGCCAGGCCCCACAGCCCGCAAAAAGTTTTTGTCACCTCAGACGGGGGTGGCTGAGGCCAGCCCGGGTTGGGGACAGTAAATATTTCATGAAGCACCGCTCCGTGGTGGCTTCACTCCCCTGGATGGCGGCGCTTCCATCTTCCCCCTCCCTGCCCGAGCATCCTCAGGGATGGAACCGCCTGCACTCGTGTCCCCTGTCCCTTGTCCCTGTCCCCATCCTCTGTCCCCTGTTCCCCATCTCCTGTCCCCATTCCCTGTCCCCTGTCCCCGTCCCCTATCCCTGTCCTTGTCTCTGTCCCCTGTCCACTGTCTCCATTTCCTGTCCCCTGTCCCTGTCTCTGTCCCCTGCCCCCATTCCCTGTCCCTGTACCCATCCCTGTCCCCTGTTCCTATCCCTTGTCCCCATTCCCTGTCCCTGTCCCCTGCCCCCATCCCCTGCCCTTGTCCCCAAGGGGACACCCTGGCGGTGGCTGCATGCCCAGGGAGGTCCTGCCTGTCCCCATCGTCCCCATGGCAGGGACAGGGACGGGGACACGGCAGCTCCACCGTCACCGCGTGCCCTTGAGCCACGGCCACCAGTGTCCCTGCTCCGGGATGTGACACGGCAGCAGGACACCCACGGGTGGCTCTGCCACCCCCCACATGGGCACAGCGGGCAAGGGGGACCCGGAGATGCCACCAGGCTGAGGCAGGACCGGGGGGTGGGGACACAAAGGGGGTGACAGCGGCTGCGACAGCTGTGACACGGGTGGGGGGACCCCACGGCAGGGCTGCAGCAGCCGCCAGCGCCTCGGGGGTGACAACGGGGTGACAGCGGGGTGACAGAGGGGTGACAGCGGGGTGACAGCGGGGTGACAACGGGACCCTGAGCCCCCCCCGTGGCCCCGGAGTTGCCTCGGAGCAACTGCAGAGGAGAGGAGGGCGCGGCTAAAAATAACCCAAAGGCTCCCCGCGGGTGATTTATTTATTCCCCGCTCACTAATTCCTGCCCGGGCATCACGGCAGGGTGGGGCAGGAATCTGGGGGGGCGGGGGGGGCAGGTTGGTGGCACCGCGGGGACAGCGGGGGACACCCCCGGGTTATGGGGTTTGGGTGCTCAGGGCTGTGGGGACCGCGCGGTGACCCCGCCGGGGGTCACGGGGGCTCCCCGCCAGTCGCCACCGCGGCTCGGGGCTCGCCAGGGGCACCAAATGCGTCAGAACCCCCCCCACCCCCGCCTCGCTCCGTGCCCAAAAATCCGCCGAGGTGGCCCCGGTTCCAAAAATCCGCCGAGCCTTGGCCATATGTGCCAGGCTGGGGAGCAGCTGGCGGTGCCAGCAGGAGCCCCCGGCCCCCGCAATCGCCGCGGGCACGGGGCGGGCCGGGGGTGGCACCGCCGCTGCCCCCCCCCAGGCCAGGGCAGGGGGGCTCCGTGTGGTTTTTGGGGGGCACAGAACCGGGACGAGGCCACGCGGCTCCCCCAAAAAGCAGCGGGGTGGCTCAGCCCAGCAATGCCGTGGGGGGACCCCCGGGTGGTGACAACACCGGTGACACCCCCGGGCCACCCCCGTGTCACCCCGCTGGCACGGCGGGGTGGGGGCAAAGGGGCAGCGCCCGGTGCTGGGGAGGGGATTTGGGGATTTTTCACGCAGGATCGGGCCCGGTGCCACCCGTGGGGTGTCCGTGTGTCCCCCAGAGCGCGGGGGGAGGCACAGGAGGTGGCACAGCCGCGGGGACACGCGGGGACACGCGGGGACACCCGAAACTCCCCGGCCCCGCCGCTACGCCGGGGAATCCCCGCCTGATGCCGGGGTCTCCCCGAGAAAATCCCTCCGCAGAGCCCCGCAGGGACACCCGCTGGATCCGGGGACACGGCGACAACCCCGATGTCCCCAGGGGCGGCAGAGACACCCGTCACCCCCCACCCCACCCCGCCGCGACACCCCCAACCCAAAGGGGGGACCCCCATCCCCATCCCGCCCCCCTCGGCGCAGCCGGGGACACCCTCCCTACCTGCTTGGGCTTGGCTTGGGGGGTCCCGGGGGGTGCAGAGTTGGGGGGGGTCTGGGCTTGCCACACCCCCCCCTTTGGTCGCCACCGCGCCGGCGTCCCCAGACAAAGCCGCTGCTCCGGGTTCTCCCTGCGCCTCCCCCACGCGCTCGGCTCAGCCCAGAGGACAAAGCCGCTCCGCCTGGCTGCCCCCGCCGGGGCCACCGCCGACCCCCTCCTCGGTGCCACCCCGGGGGGGACACAGCGGTGCCCGCCGCCCCTGGCACCGCCACAAAGCCCTCAGAGAGGGGGGAGCCCCCCCAAAGCTGGCACACGCCCTCCTAGAGCCCCGCGCCCCCGCTGCAGGGCGGGGGTCGCCATGGCTGAGGAGGGGTCCCCAAGGTCCCTCGCCCAGCGCAGGGACGGGCCAAGGTCACCGGGAAGGTCGCAAGGGGTGGGAAGGTCCCCGTGTGTCCCCACGGTCGTCGAGGCCACGAGGGCCACGCGGTGCCAGAGCTCGCCCGGTGCCACCCCCGTGTCACAGCCGCGCTTGTGGCACGGGGTCCCCCCCTGGTTTTGGGGGGTGCTGAGCCGGGTGTCACCCCGCTGTGCCATCCGTGTCACTCCCCTGTGCCATCAGGGCCACCCCAGCAGCTGGCGGCCAAAACCGGGGGGAGCCCCGAGTGCCACCAAGCCCTCAGCCGCAATCACGCCTTTGGTGACAGCGGCCACATTGTCCCCAAGGACGGGGACCCCCAAATCCCCTGTCTGCATCAACTGGGGGTGCCCCGAGCGGCAGAAACCCGCAGGGAGGGGGCCACCACTGTCCCCACACCCGCAGGGAGAGGTCCCTGATGTCCCCACACCGCAATCATGTCCCCACACCAGAAACCCCACAGGGAGGGAGTCCCTGATGTCCCCACGCCACCAACACCGCAGGGAGGGGGTTCCTGATGTCCCCACTGTCCCCACCCTGGCCACCCCACAGACAGGACATCCCCATTGTCCCCACACCCACAGGGAAGGAGTCCCCATTGTCCCCACACCACAAACACCGCAGGGACGGCGTCCCCACTGTCCCCAAACCCGTCCCTCCCCCTTAGACAGGACATCCCCATTGTCCCCACACCGCATTGATGTCCCCACATCACCAATACCACAGGGACGGCGTCCCCACTGTCCCCACCCTGGCCACCCCACAGACAGGACATCCCCATTGTCCCCACACCCACAGGGAGGGAGTCCCTGATGTCCCCACACCACAAACACCGCAGGGAGAAGGTCCCTGATGTCCCCACACCCGTCCCCCCCACCAGGCAGGACATCCCCATTGTCCCCAAACCCCACAGAAAGGAATCCCCAATTGTCCCCACACCTGCAGGGAGGGAATCCCCGCAGTCCCCACAGCACAAACCCCGCAGGGACGGCGTCCCCACTGTCCCCACTGTCCCCACACACCACAACACCCCGCAGACAGGACATCCCCATTGTCCCCACACCCCCCGGCAGAACATTCCCGTTGTCCCCTCCCTGTCCCCACAGTTGTCCCCTCCCCAGGCAGGACATCCCCATTGTCCCCACCCTCGTCGCCCCACAGACAGGACACCCCCATTGTCCCCACACCCTCAGGGAGGGAGTCCCCACTGTCCCCACACCCCACAGAAAGGAATCCCCATTGTCCCCACACCCTCAGGGAGGGAATCCCCGCAGTCCCCACAGCACAAACCCCGCAGGGACGGCGTCCCCACTGTCCCCACACCCCCCTCCCGCCCCTGCCACCCCCGGAATGTCCCCCCCGCCGCTGCCACCACCCCTTCGCCCTCTCACTTGTCACGTCCCCGTGCTCCGGGGGTCCCGGGGGGTCCGGGGGTCCCGGGGACACGCAGCGGGGGGCGCGGGGGCGGCGGGCGCTGCCGGCTCTGGGCTCGGCGGAGCGACACTGGCGACAACGGCAGCGTGCGGGGGGAAGGGAAGGGGGGGCCGGGGGCTTCCCCGCCCCACGCCCCCGCGTCCCCCCTCCCCTCCCCCGGCTGGGCAGTGACCTTGAGACCGCGGCGCTGGCCGTGGGTGGGAGCCCGGGATATTTTTAGCCGGGCACTGTCACTGCCAGCGCGTCCTCATTGTCACCGCCGGGGGCTCCTCCTGACCCCCCCCCTGTCACAACGCGACCCCCACCCCATCCTCCTCCGCCGCACCGGGGGAGGCTGAACAGGCCCCGGGCATCCCAGAGCCTCGGAACACCGGGGAAGCCCCGGGGAAACCCCCCCATGGTGCCCCCTCCCCTTCCCAAACCCTCCCCGGGCTC